GTCTTGGTGGCCTCCTCACTAGTCTCTTCCAAATTCTTTAAACCATTGATCAAATTTGAAAAGCGATAAAAGGAGAAAACATCCAAGGAGGTGGATGTTCTTGTAGCTGCTGTAGAACACAGTCAGTGCGTTTAATGCTTGTTGTTGGTTTTTTGTTTGTGTTCAGATTGTGACGATCCATCAGGAACCTTTTGTTTATGTCAAACCCACGAAGACCGATGGGACGTGTAAGGAGGAGTACACCGTTAACGGAGTTCTAATCAAGAAGGTGATCTGTACCGGACCCAACGGAACCATACCAGGTAACAGCTCACCTGGACAGTGGACTCACCTGTCCGCTGTCCTTACCTGTGCTGACAGCGATTTGAACTGTGTGCAGGGCAGCCCATCGTGCCTCAGTGTTGCTATGGTTTCTGCATCGACCTGCTCATCAAGCTGGCCATGAGCATGAACTTCACCTACGAGGTTCACCTGGTGGCTGATGGCAAGTTCGGAACACAGGAGCGAGTGAGTACCTGAGAGAGCCGCCATGTTGGATGTTGTCCGCAGTTCTCAGGCCGAGCTGCTGTTCTGCTGTCACAAGTTCTCGTGGAAGAAACGTGAGAACCAGCAGCAGCACAGAGTCACCTGACTACTACTGGTTTAGTGTTCTCACGTTCCACTGTTCCACTGTTCTACTGTTCTAACGTTAAAACGTTCTGACGTTCTGGTGTTCTAACATTCAAACTTTCTAGTGTTCTTGCGTGTTCTACTGCTCGAACGTTCTAGTATTCTTACATTCTAAGGTTCTAGTGTTCTACTGTTCTTACATTCAAACGTTCTAGTGTTCTACTGTTCTTACGTTCCTGGTTCTAATGTTGTAATGTTCTAATGTGGGGACACATCATTCAGTAATTTTCTTTAACTAAACCAGTCGCTGCAGATACAATAATGATAATGATAATAACAACAACAATAATAATAATAACAACAACAATAATAACAATAATAATGATGGTAATAATAATAATAATAATAATAATAATCATAATGATGATGATGGTGATAGCAATAATAATAACAACAATAATAATAATAATAATAATAACAATAATGCTAATCATGATAATAATAGTAATAATGAGTTATAATTATAATAATATTGATGATGATCATAATATAATAAATAACTTGTCATAACATCATATTGATAGCTGATCAGAGTTATTGTCATCGTCACAGTAACATGACAGTCGTTGTAACAATAATGATATTGATCATGAACCTAATAATTGTTCATATGTTGATGACAGTGATGGTGACATTTTATCATAATTATGACTAATTAACATAGATCACAGTGTTTGTCACTGACGGTATGACGTTCGACGCGCTGCTGCTCGTCTCTGCGTGTCTCTCTGATGATGTCGTCGTCTCTGACCTGGTTACAGATTCACCGCGGCTCGTCGCCGAGGCTTGTTGCTATGGCGACCGGCGCTCCGTCCCCGACTCTGACCTTGCCGTAGCCGAGAGACACGAAGTCACATCTCTGTCTGTGATTTACGTGGCAGCAGGAGTCAAACGCTGCTTTAACGTTCACACCAGATTGTTTAGATGAACCGCAGCATGCAGCCACTTCTGAGATCATGTTTTTCTGCTTCCTGTTGATCAATGATTTGATCAGAATCTATCTGTGGAGGTCTTTAACCGGCTTTGGTCTTCATCAGCAGCTGACACGTTGACGCCTCTGAAGCAGCAGCAGCAGCTCTGTTGGATGTTTAACTCGCTGCTGCTGGAGCTTCACGAGGATTCATGTGTTTCAGCTGCTCTGGTTCACAGTCCTGCTGCAGGTCTCCACATCTCACTGCGACCTGCTGACGGACGCCCGACTCTGTCAGCTTCTAAATGTTTGTCCTCACATGTACGGCAGCCTGGGCTCGTTGAGAAGGAAATGTAGAAGAAAAGAACTTCTCAAGGTTTCTGAACGATGTTCCTCTGACGGCCTGTGGTTTGAGCTGCCATCACTGACTTTAGTGGGGTTCAGGCTGAAGCTGGTCCCTGTGCAGCGGCGCTCTGCTCCGGAGCTCCTGCAGCACCTGGAGCTGATCTGGAAACAGCGTCTTTGTGCTTGTTTTGTGTCTGCCTGTGTGTGAGCAGTGCGGTTGTGTTTTCTGTGTGTGCAGGTGAACAACAGCAATAAGAAGGAGTGGAACGGGATGATGGGGGAGCTGCTCGGAGGTCTGGCCGACATGATCGTGGCTCCTCTCACCATCAACAACGAGCGCGCTCAGTACATCGAGTTCTCCAAACCGTTCAAATACCAGGGGCTCACCATCCTCGTCAAGAAGGTCAGAGTTTAGTGAAAGCTCCGTCTGGTTCTGCAGATGTTCTCCGTTAACATACTTAGTCTCTTGTTTTTGTCTCTATTTGGTGCCTTCCGTCTCCTTCGTGTCTCATTTTCATTTCACACGTTTGTGCTTTTCGTCTAAACTTCTGACTCTAATCATCCAAACAGACACGAGAACGGTTTGTTGTTGTGACTTGAAAAGCAGCCTTGACGTGGGCTCAGTCTGTCGGCTGGTGCTGGAGGACATTTCAGGTCAGACTGACCCAGTTTCGCTCAGCAGCAGGTCGATGGATCCATCGAGCTTCACGCCGGTTCTAAAGCTGTCAGGGGACGGATCAGAACAATCCTGCTGCCTGGCTCAGAGGCAGGAACCGGCAGCTCCGGCGAACCTGGAACTGGGTCGAGCTGCTGTGTCATGAACCCACAGCTCCGGGCCGCCTGTAATCCGCTCACAGTCGATCTGACACGAAGCTTCTAAAGAGATAAAACAACAGCCGCCGGGTTTCCTTCATCGGTCTGAGAGCCTCTTGTTGATGTTCAGACATCAGAGCCAGAACCGAATCCGTCCAGCAGGTCCTCCTCCCTTCGTCTCACTGCAGCACTGTTCAGCTTTTTGTTTCTGGGCTTGGTTCGGTTCTCCTCTGGCCGTCTGGGGTCTTATTCTGTGTCTTCATTTGGTTGAATTTGTCCGATTTGTTCTGGTTCTGATCTGCTTTGATGCATTTTGTCTTGTTCTGTGTCTCATTTTGGTCCTTCTGTGTGTTGTGAAGGAGAATGTGAAACAATGTGACTCCGTGTCCGTCTGCTGGAATCACTCAACAAGTCATTTGGTTTTTATTCTTGTTGCACATCCGCACACACCGATGTTCAACGTTATGAAGACGGTGTTGTCTTCAGTCCGTTTCCTTGGACTTGGATGCTTCTGCTCCAGACCGGACCTCCTGGAGCTCCACATGAACCTGGTTCTGACATAGACGTTGTGTTTCCAGGAAATCCCTCGCAGCACTCTGGATTCGTTCATGCAGCCGTTCCAGAGCACACTGTGGCTGTTGGTCGGTCTGTCGGTCCATGTGGTGGCAGTGATGCTTTACCTACTAGACCGGTTCAGGTACGCAACACAGCAACAACACAAC